CGCGATAAAGCAAAGCGATTGAGCGCGGGTTTTAACGGTGGGAGTAGTTTTAGCAGCTGAAAACAGTCCTACTTACACATCTGTCACAGAACCAGTAGTCTCTATGCGTGTAGCTGGCTGGAACGCGCTACACTCGCGTTGTATCATGGCCGCAAAACAAATAGGAAACGCTTTGCATTTAACAGTATTAGTGCTAATTGTTTTCTAGGTGAAACTCTCATTGGCTGTGAAGAGACTCTAATGACAACTGAAAAGGATAATGAAATGCGAAAGATGAGAAAGGACAGCTGGTAATATAATAAAAACTATGCAAATGTTGACAACCGCAATAAGTGAGTTAGGTTAAACTGATGTGTTAAATAATAATGTGGTATTTGACAAATTATACACAAATAAATTTATTTCAGTTTTATCCAGTACGATTGGCTCAAGTCCATCTTGGCTTAAGTCGTCAGGCAAAGTTTTCAATCCAGTTCTTAAGATGGCGACTCTTCGTGCCAATAGAGGAGATTAAATCCCCACATAGGCTTTACTGCAACTAAGCGGAAAATGCTACACGCGCGTCGCGTGGATCTTTTCGTGGAGGATGAAAATGCGTGGAAAGTCGCTTGCACTGTTCACGTGGGCAAATTCTACATCACAAGATTGAGAAGAATTAGCAAGGAAAGATTTCAGTTGTCGTCTTTTTAAAAGGGAGCCTAAAGATAGGGTTAGGGTTAAAGTTACCAAATTACCATACTGACCGAGCATTGGCAACTGATAAATCGAGCACGAATTGTTTAGAGGGTCACTTAGAGAAAGACTGCAGATTTAACCTAATCTGTATAATACAGAATCTTTGGGGAGGCGATGTGACCTGATGCTTAGAAAGCTGGATTTGGGACCGAGAAGTCCATGCTACTACAAATGCTACAAGAGTTTGCTCAACATTACTAACATGACAGGAAAGTTCAGAACAAGACTATTCAAGTAATGGATACGATGTTACTGTACTAAAACATTTAATAGAGGAGTGTGTAAAACAATGCAGTTCTTTCTGCCAATTAGGAATAAAACCAAAATCAATGAATTGGCTCATGCGCATTCTCTTGCACTGAAACCGGTTCACACTTTTACCGTACCCACGTTGGTAATTAGCCAATCAGAAGCATAATCTATACAGTGCTGATTTCCTGCGATATCTAGTGACGGACGTGATTTGACCAGCATTTTGGCCAAATTTGGGTACGGTTAGATTACAGGGAGCAAACAATCTAGTTGAGGAGGACAGAAAGCCAAATAAATTTTTGCAAAACGCGAAGGGCTAGCTACGAGTTTGGCGCTAGTATTTTGCAGGAC